ATATTATTTTGTAATGTGCTAAATGTAATTTATGTGTGTCTTTGTGATTAAAATTTTCCAATTATAGGATTCGTTCGCGTTATTTGCACTTTTTGCTTTAAAAATCTTTGCTTATTGTCTCTTTAATATCCGAATATATTTCTCCCATTTTAAGTGCCAAAATTTTAAGGGAGAATTTCAAGCAATGCGAATAGATTTATTAATAAGTAAATCTAAGCAATTTTAACATAATTTAAGATGATGGAATAATGTGTATTGTTCTAGGACAAAGTGTACAAGTAAGACCGCTGCAATTTCCTATGCAACATGTTCAGCAAGCGGTACCTGTGCAATTACCAGTCACTGCCAATAATGGGCAAACCGTTTATCAGACAGTACATCTTCCTGTCCAGTCGCTATCCAGTGTCTTTAATATGCCCACGACGCAAATGATACCACAAATTATGCAAGTAAGTAATTTAGAGGCATGGCAAAGTCTTATGCAAGAGATCGTTTCATTATAATCAATACCATATAACAATTAAGATACCAATTAATAATTTCTATATATGACAAATATTGTAAATTGTAATAATATGAAATGTACATTCTAATTATTTTAATTTTAGCAAATACCTCAAGTGGCGCAGATTATCACGCCGAGCGGTCAAATTCAGCAAGTGCAAATTGCTAGTTTACCGCAATTGCAAAACCTTCAGGTAAATATAAATCAAATTCAACAATAAATGAAAATCTGGAATGTATTATTATTCAAAACAATATTTTAAAAGGCATACACTGCTACACAAGATATTGGAAGCGAATAATATTTAAATTTATCAATTTTAAATCATAATTATGTATAAACGTTTCGACTCTTAATTAGGCCATCTTCAGTATATATTTATATATACATATATAAAATTTATTTTATCACTAAAATGTTATCGCAATTTACAAATTAATAACGTCTTTACATCAAATATATAGGCATCGAATCTTGTCAATTTGATTGATTATGTAAAACGCTCGTTATGTTATAAAATTGTTTATGTTACGAGTCGGTTTTCAATATTTTCCTATAAAATACATGGACCTAAGAGAGGTTGAAATCGAACTCAGGATTTGTCGACTACAAATTGATCACTTTCGCAAAGAGCTATGAGTCATCCCTTCAACATTATTTTGTTCATGAACTTATTACATAAATATTTAACGTACTATTACAGAGTCAGCAAGTAACGCAAGTTGCACATCAACAAGCACAACAACAAGTCGTTCAACAACAAACTCAACAACAAGTGGTACAGTCGGTGCAACAACAACAACAAGTCGCCCAAGCTCAAGTACAACAACAGCAGCAAGTGCAACAAGTGGTACAGCAAGTGATACAACAGCAACCAGCATCGTCACAGCAGCAGCAGCAGTCGCAACAACAGCAGCTGCAACAATCCTCCACTCCATCGTCGACAGTAGCGACTTGGAGCACAACAGTTGCATCTCCCAGCAATGTTCAAGTAATATACTTCTAAATTTGAACATTAACATATTGCTAATATGTACATAAAGTTATTCTAAATGATACGTTTCTTAGGTACTTGGTATAGGTACGTTAGGAAGAAACATAACAGGAAATACTAACGTTATTACCACAAAAGATGGCCAGAAAATCGACGTGCAGACGTTATCTAGTTTGACGAGGCCGCCCGAAACGATAGAAGGTGATATCAAAGTAACTAATATCGATGCGAGTCAATTAACTAGTGGGCAAGTGATACATATCCCTGCTACACAATCGGCTCAACCTACAGTGCAACCTATTACGATTACAGGTAAGAGAATTGTTGTGTGCACACACTGTATTAATCAGCACAAGATGGGAATAAATTTACAGTACAAACAGACGAAGGGGAGCGATTCCTTATACAAAAATAAGTCAAAAGTACAGAATAATTTTTTTTTGTTCGAGGCTTTATTTCCGAGAAAATAAAGTTTGAAAATCACGAAGTACGCTTAACGAACATTTGATTTGTAGAGACATTAAAAAAACCGTTATTATATTTACATAACGACTTTACGAGTAACAAGATTAAAGAAAATGTGACAAATAGTTAAATTTTATTTATTTTATTAAGAGAGAAATTGCTCACAGCAAAGAATTGGACGAAAAAAAGTTTATTCTGCACTTTCAATTCATTTTTGTACAAGAAATCATTCCCTGTTGATTGTATTATAGATTTGTTTCCATCCTGGATATTGAAAGATTATCGTACTTTTAATTTTTACATTTTCTGATACATTTCCTCATAATTTGGAATTTTTTATTTTGTAAACAATTAATGTTGCAAATAATCCTTATACAGGAACGCAAGGACAACAGTTAACGCTTATTCCTGCGTCCGCATTAGCAAATTTGACCACGCAACAAAGTAACATGATGAGGAATGTTAGCAATGGAAGTATAATGCAAATTCAACCAACCACCGGAATGAATACGACCAATGGTTTCTTACAATCGATACCCGTGCAAAACATCCCAGGTTTAGGCAATGTGCAAGTAATACCGGCGAGCGCATTGCAGCCGGCTACAGTTCAAACGTTGCCGGCCACTGTTCAAACCGCTGCGGCCACACCTATCGTCACAACACCAACCGTGCAACTCGACTCAAACGATCCTACCAAATGGCAGATTCTCCAAACTCTTCAGCACGGGACCTTGACAACGTCCGCTACACCTGTATCTCATCAACAGCAAATACCGAACCCGGCCACTACTCCTACCAATGACGATCCTAATAAGCAGCACCGTAGAAGAGTCGCGTGTACATGTCCCAATTGCGGCGATGGCGACAGGTGAGCGATAACTTCTTTCAACCATATCAAATATTTGTTTGTAACACTAATGAATAATAGTCATATGTGCATTGATATGTGTGTGTATCCCCATATTTCTCTTTAGAAATAGGGATATAACCAGGAAACGGCAACATGTATGTCACATTGCTGGATGTAATAAAGTGTATGGAAAGACGAGCCATCTACGTGCTCATTTACGCTGGCACACTGGTGAACGTCCTTTTGTCTGCACTTGGATATTTTGCGGTAAAAAGTTCACTAGATCCGATGAACTTCAGAGGCATCGTAGAACCCACACGGGTGAAAAACGTTTTCAATGTCCAGAATGTACAAAGAAATTTATGCGATCGGATCACCTAACGAAACACATCAAAACGCATACGAAGATACGGAGCACGGTAAGTATTGCAAATTTAAAACTCATCGCACGCGATGCATTGTCACTTACTGAATTTTAGGAAGCTGCCACTTCGACGCAGGAAGGCTCGTCTGACAGTCAGTCTTCCACTGAGCAAAAAATAATGATAGCTCTGCACAAAGAGGAACAATCTGACATTATCATAGCAGAGCCGATCGAATCCGTAAAGAACGACTCGTCGAATCACGTAACAAATGACTAAAAATTTTATGATGTATAGTATAATCAGACAGCAATCGGCATGTCGATAGGTAAGCGAGTTCAAGCCGGTAAAGCATGCTAGCAAGTAAACATGGTTGATTTTTAAATCCTACCAGAGGATTCAATTAATAAAGTTTAATTGCTCTGCTTTGTCGACTTGAAAGCACCAAATATTATAATATACATTTTATGATGAATCAATATTCAGTATTAAATCTCTGAAAACAATGTCATTCGGTAGAAACAAATCTTAAGTCATAGACTATTCAGTCTAGAGTGTAAAAATTATAAAAAGGAAATTGTTATGTGCATAATATAGCATATAAGTTATAAACACGTAAATTATATAAATTATATTATGTAATTATACAAGATATTGAAATTAGCGCTACATTGGTCAAGCGATTCATTGACCTATTTATTTTAAAGTAAATAAAAATAGTAGCGAAATGGTAGCGAATTTATAGGTATAGCGATAATTCATAACATACAATCTATTTTTTTATTACGGTTATGTATATATATATATATGTATGTATATAATGTAAATCAATGTATACAATTTTGCACAAGAAAGTTTTACACTGTAAACATTTTTTCATATTATAAGAAGTCGAGAGATATTTAGCTTCCTTTTTAATTTATCTAGTTATTTTAAACCGGACACAGCTTCATAATATATCGCACGCGAATTATACATAAGTTTTATCATAGGAGACTTTTGCCTGAATTTGAATCATGTATATAGATCTTAAATAATTGCTTAGCGAGATGGTCTGTCTTGCAATAAATATAATACGGGCATGAAAAAAAAGAATAAATGTAAAAAACTTAAAACAATACGGAGTACACGGTATCTAATTAATAGTGAAAGGTACGGAATTTAAGATACATAAAAACACAATATTATTTATGTTTAGTCATTTATATTTATAAATTTAAATTTAGAAACATTTTTTAAATAATTATTTATTCTGTTATCTTAAATTTCGTCACCCTTCATCAAATGGATGCTTCATACTTCGCATTGTTATATCACATCTGTGTTTCATTTTTATTGAATCTTTATCCGTTATAAAAAACTAGCAAGCCTGCGGATATATTGAAATCTCTAGAAATGGAAATATATAATTATATTTTTTCGCGTTTGCTGTTTTTTTCCGATATAAAATGCTAATAAAAGTGTTGGAGAAAAACAACGCGTCTATGTATCTCACATTATATTAGATCTCTCTTTTTATTGACGAATAAATATATCCCATAATACTCTACTAATAAATTTACAGACTACTATATGCTAGAAAGCATGTAGGTATATAAACATCATTAAATTCTGTATTTTTATATTGTACATACATAACAAACGAAAAATATCCTATTTTATTTTATATAATTAACACAAATATCGCTGCTTATTGTTGACACATTGAAAAGTATCAGGAACGTAAAGAGCTAATATTTAAAAAAATATACTTTTCCTGAAAGCAATCTCATATCGTATCAATGCTATTTTAAATGTTACTAGTTATTAGATCGATAATATTCATTCTTCCACTAATTATATTCGTATAATTTGTATGTTTAATTTGTAATTGAATCAATTGTTAATCTTAAACACAATGTAATATTGTGAGATTTTTTGTCGTTTTTCGTTATACATATATATAGGAACAAAGTAATTCCAAAAATGTCCGATTCCGAACCTTGGACGTGTCCGACAGCAAAAACAAATTATTCCAAATATTGCAAAATTTACGAGTCTCACAGTTGACAAGGTTTGTAAAAAAATCTTTTTTTAAATACAAGTTTAAAGTGAAACTTGTTATAGATAAATTATATTTTCTATACACATTGGCATTCTTACTCTGAACTTTGCATGTTAAAAAAGAAATTCAGTAATAGTCTCGCATTTGCAAAACTCAACTTTCTTTCTATTGTAATATTTAACTTTCTTAAAACATTTTTATCATTGTGAAAAGGAAAAACGAGCGATAGAATTATGTGTAAAACATAATTGAAATATACGTCTAGTAATACAGCGCGATATTTGTTTTTGTTAACGCGCATACTAGAATGTTTGCTCATTGCATATGTACAAGTAGCGCGAAAATAACTCCGATTCGACTGAATACGCAATAACATCGGCCGGAAGAATTTAGATACAATTTCTAATCGTTTTCTTTATGCTATATCCTATTTTATGTTTATACAATATGTGTAACTTCGTCGATTGCTGCAAACTACACAATTGTGGATGCAAGGGTTTATCTCCATGAGTGCGCATATTTTCTGAAATATCTTTACTATAGAAGTATATAGTATATATGTATGCTGCAATATGTAACGCGAATGCGTTTCATTCATTTGCATTGTAAAAATTAGCTTTACGAGACTTAATGCACATGTCAAACAGTTTTTACGCACTAAGAGAACAAAGCAATTTGTTACACATCCACGCGTCTTTATTCGTCGAGACTCAGATAGCCATAGTCAAGGTATACCTTAATAGATACATGTTACAACACAGTCAGAAGATTAAATTTAAAAGAATGAAGAAAGTAATGTAATTTCATGCAGCGAAGAAAAACTAGCTTTTTACCCCCACTTCGCCACAATCAAAGCAGTGTTCAAAAACTGTTCGTTCTTCTCCTGCTTCCTTTTCGATGGAGCGTATCTTCGTTGGCTTTAAGTTAACGAATACACTCATTTATTTTCGTTACCTTTTAACTTCATTTTAATAAAAATGGATTACAAGAATGAGAATACGTCGCGTATGTAAAAGAATATAACAGCAGCTACAGCTGCAGCAGAAATGCGAAGGCGACGCATAGTCGTTGCAATCGCTAATATACAATTATTAAAAAAGAAAAAATACTAGATACCACATTTCCAAAAACCGCAGCAAACATGATTTTTTTGTTGTTTCACTCTCAAAATTAATTTTGAAAGACATACGATTGTCATGTTCCATGAACATGACACGATATATCATGTATTTTAGCGATGTTTGCCATTAGTTGAACAATATCTAACTTTGAAAGTAACTTCGCTATATACGAAAATTGATAGAGTGGGGATAAAACGACAGCTTTTATTAGCTGTATGAAATGGTATCATAATAATGTAATTGTCAATGTTCTTTTTTTTTTATAATTTTCAGAATATTTACAGAAAGAAAACGGAATCGATATGCAGATGTTCTATATTAATTCCATTAGCTTTTTGATTGCTAGATTTCTTGATTCGTGATATGTTCTAATTTCAAGTACATATATATCTCTGAAGAAAGCACAAATATGAAATACTTTTATTTTTAAAAATTCCCGATTTATCATTTGAATTTATTAATTTGCTTTCAAATCGCGAGTCATCACATTTATTCTTACCTTAAACTTACATCGATTTTACTGAGCCTCGGCGACAAATAAAAATTATACTATATAAATAGCTCAAAATTTGTTGATCCGAGTTTCATTAAATTAACATTACTCAAAATAAAATTGCCTATGCATAAATAATGTCTATAAAGATGTCTATGTAGGTTGCTTCTTTTCTCGGAGTTTTTTAATTTCATTTCATTCGAATTAAATCATAAAATAAAATCTCCTGTCTGCACTGAAATGTAACAACGCATATGATTCGTTAATGGAACATTTCTGTAATCATTCAATCAAGTATTATAAATATTGAATCAAATGGCATTAGTGAAGATCGTGAGATATTATAGTTTAGCGCGAGTAACGTCTTAATGTTGAATGTTAAAATAGTGCAATAGGCAGAAACAAATGTAACAATTTAATATACGATGTTTGGCCATTTTGGTTGATATCCCATTTAATACAATTTTTTGAACGTAGAACAAAATAGTTCATCGAACTTATCATCCAATATCGATTGATTAAGTGATAATAATTCGAATTTTGTAGTCGACATGTTTAATCTGTAAAGAGATATTTGCCTTACTACAGGCAAGAAAATGCCAAATGGTATCAATGTGTTAAAAATAGATTATACATTCGGTTAATTACGAAACCGGATAGTTGAAAGAAAAATATCACTCGTATCTCACTTGAACAAGCACTGCAGCTACTCTGATGAAGTAGATGACGAAGTAGATGATGTCCGGCTAATTGGCTGTCCTGTTCGGTGCGCTTCATTTGCTGCCCTATATCACACATAATACACATTCAAAATATTTATGAATGTCGTCAATTTAAGTAAATAGAAAACAAAGAAAAAACAAAAAATTGCACAAAACCGTTATCTAAGACCTTTCTATAATAATTGTTGTCCATTTTATTGCATGAAAAATTAAATAATAAAATACAAATTTGTGTAATAAATATTTTATTACAGAACTTGCCTAAACAAAGCAGCAAAACTAGATCCGGCTAAAGTGGATCCAGCTATGTTGGCTGCAGCATCTTGGTTTGCTTCAGCCTGATTTTGATCTCCCAAGTTCTGTCTGCAAATGGGACAGGTTCCGTGCTAGAAAATGAAAAGAAAAACAAAAGAAAAAGATTATTTCGGTATTGATATATGGGTTCTTAAAACTTGGAAATTTTTCAGCTTACTAATTCCAGCCAGGGTACAATGCATGGTGCGTGATAAACGTGCTGGCATGGCAATTGTCTAACAGGTTCGGACAGCTTAAAATCTTCCCAACAAACGGAACATTGTAGCTTGCAGTCTGCATAAAGAAAAAGGAACGAGAAGTTGTTATCAGAGCGACTTAAAGTAGACCTTCTTTTTAGCTGAACTTCTTGCATTGTTTATCTTTTCTTTTTTTTTCTCTCTAACATAGAGAAAAAGAGGAAAGAGATGAATCATCTAAGAAATTTAGCTGAAAAAAATAGGCCTAGAAACAATTATAATAGATAAAATAAATCAAATGCATAGTTGGAAACGAAGACTTCTATGTATGAAAATATAATTGTTTAATATAACACTTAAAAAACATTCTGGTGTTTCTTTTAGATCCTTATCAACTATTTTTAAATTATTCTGGCATGTCGTTCTGCTTCCCAAATGATAAGGATCTTAAAAGATGATAGATGTACATAGATATCGCAAACTACACGTCAATATATATTATTGGGTACTAACCAACTTGACTTTGCGTTATAGTAGTAGTAGGTATCTCATCGATCTGATTGCGTGATAATGGTGGTGGTCCAGTACCATCCATTTGATTCAATAATTGGGTAACAATAGCGTCTAATCCATCACGACCCCAAACATAATCTCCAGGATTTCCCAAGAACAGTCTAACATTGAATCTACATTATTTTGTTTTATTTTAGTAATACTAAAGATTAAATAAAATTGTTTAATGAGTTGTACCCTCACGGATGAATGAACTTTTTAAATATTTACTGTTGCCATCACTGTTGGAAAAGCATATTTACAATTGATGACAATTCATGTGGGGTTTTATGAAAATGCATATATGAGAAAAAAAACAGGATCAAAATGTAAAAATTTAAATAATTACAATAATATGAACATGAAAAAATGAAAGTAAAATGAAAAAATGTTTCTTGAAAATATGTAAATTTAAAATACTATAAATATCGATCTATTATGATAAAGAGAAATATAACGTATCTTTATTTTATAATTATACAGGCTAAAATCACAAGCAGTAATTATCACGTAAAACAACTTACACAGATGGCTGTGCATCTTGACCCACAGTGTTGCTTAGACTCGCTGCTCCCGAAAGATTGAAGATAAAATCTTGTATGAAATTCTCTATAGGCATCTGTAGGCTCTCTTGTCTTCTACGATTGCTATTTCGTAAAAAAAAAAAAAAAAAATGAAATTATTACCTTACCAATTTTCCAAGTACCATGCATACGGGACATTATTAACATATTAATATAAATATGTAATTTTGCATTTACAAAGGTGGAAGAAGGAACTAAATGCACCATTTGTCAAATTTAATGTCAAATATTCAAACAGGTGAATTCAATTATCTAGTGATCTTTGAAAACTGCATCACTACTGTGACATTAATGGATGCAGAATATTTATTTTGCAACTGTTGACAGTTTTCTTCTCGCTGATTGGATTATATTTTTAGATCTGGGATAATAGTATCTTATCTTAGAGCAAAGAAAATTTCCAATAGTTGCAAAATAATAGCTGTGTTCAATAGACGCAGCTTTACAACTCTTATAAAATTCTTTAATATGATTGATCTTGCCCTACATATATTTAGATCCAGTTCCTCACTGGATAACTAAATGTATAAATCAATTATATTAAATATTACAATTGCAAAGCTGCTTTTTTTTCTGTTACATGTAGCCATCGGTGTGCGACGAGTATACCGATGGCTACATTCAATACATTTGGTACAGGAAAGATACCTGCTGGTACGACGTCCATCTTGGGGATTACGAGACCAATTGGACCTCCTTCTGCTCCCGAGCACATAGTTCCTATTGCCTCCACCCGGCTGTTGACTGGTGTTCAATTGTTGATTGGTATATGTATTCGAGAGACCCATTATCATCTCTATTATATCACGGTCACGGTCGGAGCGCTGTGAAGGTTGTAGCAAATGGATGTAGAGTTTACACATTTCTGATGATTTGTCAATAATCCTTGGTTTAATTAAATTTAAACTCACGTTCAAGGTCAAGATGTCAATATCTCCATCGCTCAGTTCTTCACTGTTCATATCCATGCCAGAGCTGCCCTCGTTGCTGCTGCTCTCCAGCTCTTCAATGAAACCGCTCGCGCATCGTGGACACGTATAATTCTAATTGGAAGTGAAATGTCAGGGGAGTCTGAGTTATGCAATGTAGATTGCAAAGTCTGTCTTCGACAGATTGCCTGGGACATATGTACACGCTTGTATTAGTTAGACATTTGCGAATTAACCTGGCGTCATTGTGGCTGGATTCATAATGACCTGAGACATTTTTAAACATCTGTATTTTCTTACATACTTCATAGATTTTAACTAACCACCCTGTAGCTGGAGTTAAGACTTTCTAAAACCATTGTTGACATTGCGAGAATAGACCAAAAAAATATTCAGGTTATCATGATCCACCTTAACATCCATGTAACATTTTAGCATCACAATGACGTCAAGTTAAATATATGCAGAATAAATATATCCCAGAAAACCAAAGTCCACATTCGGGATAAGTCTTAAGACATTTTTATAGCAACTGTTTAAAAGATATCTTATAAAACGTCTTATCCCAATTTTGGACTTTATGCTTTCCAGCAAGACACAGATGACAGTGTAATACAATGAATTTTTACTTTTTTGTTTGCCAATGTTAAACAAAGATGAAATGATCATTGTGTTACACTAAGTTTCTTGTTGCAAAATACCATGTATTAGGCTTATTCTATGTATTGTACGACAAACTTTTTAAGTCTACTGATTAGTTATAGAATCAAAATAACAAGATCCGAAAAGTTTTTTTGTCCTGCAGCTAATCAATAAGCTTAAAAAGATTTATTGTATAATACAACACATGAAATATTAATCTTATTTGGGATCTCTTACACTTATTAATAGTAAATTTATAACTATACTGGATTAGCACATTAAAGGCTGCTTTACGTACAGTATCTAAATATAGAAAAGCATAATGTAATAAACTTTGACAATGAAGTAATACATATATATTGTTAAGTAGCATGATAATATCATTATTGGGTATTTAATCATTTGAAATATTTATATGCTTTTACATTAACTTTGCTAATTTCATAATAGCTTTTAATATGCACCAATTTAGTATACAAGACTGAATTTGTTGTAACCCTCCATCAACCATGTGGAATTCGTACCTTCCATCAGCAACCTGGCTCTTTAAACTTCAAATATATCATTCCAAACTGTGTAAGTCTGAATAAGTACTTACAAAAACTTATAAAAACTTGTGGAAGACTTGCAAGAGTTTTTAGTCATAAAAATCAGATTGTATTTTACTTATTTTTTACAGACTCGAATTTATCTACCAGAATTCACAATCAAAATATTGACTGTGCCTTCAAAGTCTAACTTGGTCAGTCTAGAGTTGTTAGCTGCGTTCAGGAGAGAAAAAATTATTCAGTTAGCTCTTAGGATGTTATTTCATTTGTGCATTTTTTGTCATATGACAAATGTATATAGAACAAAGAGGTCCTTGGATCTCTCTATCTTATAGCCAACCGAAAAAGCCAACTTGAAAAAGCCTGTGTCGTACAACAGAGACGCACGAATAAAATAGCGGCCTTAATAATTCTTTAAAACGATTAATTCTTACACTTAGCTTCAACAAAGAATTAATCATATTAAAGAATAACTAAGCTGATTAGTTTTCTCTACCAAATGCAGTCAATGTCTATGAACAATAATAATAATAGTATTAATCACAATGAGACAGCAATATATCTGTACACTTCAGAAATACTTTAGAAAAGGATAATAAGATAAACAAAGGAGCATGTATATATTTTTCTTCTTCTAGAACGCAAGGATATAAATATCTCATTCCAAATGAAACAAAAAGTACAACATGAAACAAGAGAAAAAAATAGGTGCATATTTATGCTCTTACTAATTTCGTACAAAGAACCAGATTAATTAGGCGAGAATTCCAAAATAGTCGAGGTCATCGATGAATGCTCTTGCCTACCGCAGCTTAATCAAAACACGCCGTTTCACGGCAAATTTCATCGGAGGGGTTCCATCGGAAACAACGATCGCGAGAACGTGCGTAGCATGCTTCCTGCGGAGAGAGAAGGGAGTTCACGACAGACATAAACGCGATTCGACCGTGCTACTGTCAAGGTTTTGAGAAATCGCAAAGCTGCGGGGAAGTTAACGAGTGTTATCGTCGACCTCGTCGTTCGATGTGAAAGAGAATTGGGCAAGCTACATTTATTGCGGGGACGAGGGGGGAAAGAGAAGAGACAGAAATTTCGTATGATATGGGGTGACAGTTATATCGGGGATGGACGTACCACCGCGGCAATTCCGCGTCATGTGATACAAACGAGTGGCCCAAGACGACGAGGAACGTCACGGCGCACTTACCGGCAGCAGACGCTCGATTTCGACGCTGCATTTGTGGCAAAAAAACCGAGACATCGGACTTCCATCCACAACGGCCTCCGCCATGTTTTACGTGTCCCTCAATTTTCCATCTCTCTACTTGGTTACGGTTGGCGATTTGTTCGGCTACGTTCGACACGCCTCGGTTGAACTCGGACTTCGGTCACGGAGTACAACGAAACGTTAGACGGCTGTGTTGATTTTAGCAGCACGTGAAATTGTACCTTAAATTTAAGTGTTGCCAATCGCTAAACTGAAAACTCTAAACTGAACGTCATCTCTAACCTAATTTCTTGACAATTAATCTATTACAAAATATGTATTTGTTTGTAAAAATGTTTAAAATCTAATTTATCATCCGCGCTATACTTTTTTCTTAATATGAATAAGTTAGAAATTAAAACAGATTTTAAAGTCTTGCTATTGGCAATTCTGATGACAAATTAATTAACCAATCGAGTAATTGATGTGTAAACGTAAGGTCTGTTTGCGTTGTTTTTGCACTAAACGTCATCGCTTTCTTTCTCTTCGACGCACGAATATATATTTATCTCATTTTAAGTGCAAACATTTTTGAAGATTTCAAGCAACGTGAACAAAAGCCTTAACGCTGAAAATGAGCGTCAGTCTCGCGTGAGCATGAAAAGGCGTCTTTAGGAACAGACTTATTGAGAAGTTTGTCAATCCTGTTACAGATGATTCAAATTTTGTAACGCGTAAAGTTTAACAAACATAAAAAACATTTCGTGTTTTGACGGGATAGTTGTGAGATTAATTAACTTTAGTATAGTTTTAATATTAGATCAAATATGGAAGATCATTGGATAGAATCGTTGAAAACGAATTTCGTAAACACGGATACGTTGACGCTCAAAGAATTGTTACTGTCCAAAGTAGAAAAACTAGATGAAATTAGAAAAGATCAAAATCAACGATTCAATGGTAAATTTTATTATTGAGTATATGGAATAATTTAATTTGGTAGGAAATAAGCCAATAAGTTATTGTATCGCTTGAAGTCCTGAAATTATAGAATATATTGTGTTATTACATTTCCTTTTATATATAATCCCTATATATTTTTAGAGGATGAAACTAAGATTAAGGAATTAACATCAAACTTGGCTGCTACGAAAGAAACACTGCATATGGAAATTCAAACTTTAGAGAGCAAAAATAATAAGTTATCAGAAGAGAAGAATTATTTAGTGAGTGTGTAATATACTTTTATTTTTTCCAGAAAGTCTATGGATATTTATTATTGCAGAATATTTTTTAGAACGAGCTGGAAGCAGAGAACAAGAAACTCTTACAAGAGATCAAACAGTTGGAAGGGAAACGTACTAACTTGAAGTCTATTAAACCAAATTTGCAAGATCAACAATTGCTGGAGCAAGGAAGGCATGTATTATCATTATATATTAATATAATCTTTTTTATTGATAATTTAGGTCATAATTTTGTTTGTTTCATAGGAAAAAGTTGAACTTGTATAAGGACTTAACAAGGATACAATGGGATTTTGAAGCTATATATTCAAAGCACACTATTCAAGGCTGTATCCTTTTTCTAAATATTTATATACATGAAATTAGCTAATATATAAAATATATCAAGTATGATTTTGTATTTCACACTAGCTACTTCTTTTGCGAACAAGTAGCAGATATGCATATCCTTAATTCTTGACACAGATGTTTCAAACAGACGCAACTATATTCACCACTTCTGTTATGATACTCAAGAGATTGATAAAAAGTTAACCGACTCACTATGGCATGAAATATATTTGTCTACGAGCGAAGCTGAAGTCAGAGATGAGAACCTTCCACCAAACTAGTATAAATATTATACCTAAATGAGATGATACAATTTTGATACTTGATTACTTTTAGAAATAGATAATATATGAAGATGTATATTGATCTATATAGGATAAGGTGGTACAATTTCTTACATAATATAATTCTGAACGAAATAAAATTTAAATCGAATTTTTGAGGTACAAGTTTAATAACCTTCATTGTGTGGAGAATTCTGAAGAGTAGAAAAAATTAACTAGAATTTTGAAAATTGAATTAAAATTTTTTATTTCGTTCAGAATTGTACCGTGTTCAAAATTATATCACCTTATCCTGTATGTATTTGTACCAAACCTGTAATAATAAACACTTTTTAATTTTCATCTTTTTATTTTTTAAAACTTATTAAAGATTTTTATTATACAATCACCTTTATGTACAGTTATTCGATTTTAGAGACCAAAAGATTAAACGCACGGTTCGTATAATACAATGTATAATAAACACAAAGAATAAATAATCCTACCATTATAATAGTACTTATGATGCAGAAAAGTACACAGCTTAAAATACTCGCGCCAATAGCCAATATTGTCCCTGAAATATGTGCTTGTTTAGTGTTTAGCAACAGCAACTCTGTGATCAAGAATAAGAAATGTAGGATTGCTTACCTTGAACTATCATAAAACCAATAAATACGAATACAGCACTGACGATACCAAATATAATAAACAAGAAGATAGGTACAAGAAGCGACGCTAATGCAGTGCAGGTAGCCACCTGCAGAAACGGATTGTGGGCTAACTGCTCCTTAAATCTGAGAATAAATTTACGAACGTTGGGATGTTGTAAAAATGTCTGGCATTTTTTAGCCCGTTCTTCATCTAAAATTAAACATCAATTCTTCATTCCTCTTTCAAAATGATAGAATAAGTAATGTGACAAACTAGTGAAGTGTTGCACAATGCAGGTATACTTACAATACATGATTATTGAATCGTATATATTGTCGTTTTGTGTCTGAAATAAAACAATGTGTCTGTGTTTACTCATCTCAAATTAGCAGAAATATAAGGTAGGATAAAAAAAGGCAACCCTGAGCAATATTAACGCTGCAAAACAACATGACTGTATAGAGAACGGACAAAATAATGTAAACACCTGAGAAATATACTATCTACTTGTCGGGATTATGAAAGTTATTTTGTAAAAGTAAGTAAACAAGTTACAATTTTTTTCTCAAAAAGTAATTTTTAAATTATTATTACGAGTTAATTTTGAAAAGTATTTTTGTACTTTTTAGTTATTTTTTATAATTTTTTTACACTTTTATTTTAAAGTTACAAGAATCTTACATTTCTGATAATACTAAAATATTTTATTAAACATTCAATCATTCGCTATTTCATTTATAATAAATTAATATATATACTTATGTTGGAATCAGAATTATATTAAAATGCATTCACATACTAAAAGACTTTAGTTTAATTTTTAATTTTTACAGATATTTAGGGAGAATAATTATTAGGAATAAAGGTGTATTCCAATCTCAATAAATAGATTGTTTACTGAGTACTTCATTTTGATCAGTCAATACATTGAATAAGTTTATAAAAAGTAACTATTAAATTACAGTTACAAAAAAATGTAACTAAGTAACTGTTACAGTTATGGAAAAGAAAGGAACACAGTTATAGTTATTGAAAAAAGAAACTTTAACTATAACGTTGTTAAAGTAACGAGTTACTCTTCTTAACCCTATTTATTTCATTAATAACAAGTTCGCCTATTATTTGTCTTTAATATAGATTCTATCCTCGTTGAAATAAAGTCATGCATGCCTGAATAGTGTAACAACTGCTCTGCAGTGCAATATTATATCATTTTTCTAACAAAACATCTTTAATTGTTTTAAAAATATATTGAAGGAAAAAATATTTTTCATTCATCTTCAAAATTACAAATAATATTTAAATCAGACGACTTGGCTAGAAAAGTGTTGAAATTTTAAAGAATAAAGAAATTTTGGAAACTAGAATGAAAAAATTATATTGATATTCTATTGATAAGTATTGATCTGCAGAACACAAATTAATAATAACATTACATCAATGTTGTAATTTCCTATTCAACAATGTAACTGTTATCTGTTACATTATGTATTATATTCCTATTGTTGAGTGAAAAAAATATAGTTAGAGGGATAAGGTTTAAGGATAGACCTAATTAATTATAACGATGAAGTATAGTCAAGGGATGGATGGATAAATTTATTTGTAACCCAAATCTCTTTCTTGACTTTACATAGCTGAAGTGAATAGATATATGTATTAATTTATATTGTTGAGTGCAAAATTATAATATTTAGTTTTTTTACTATTAATTTATGTTCTGCGAAGAGTAAACTATTTCAAGAATAAAATTTGTATTAAGAGTGAATAAAATGACGGACCAACCTTTTATTAAAACAAATAGTAAAGAAATGATATATTTCCCAAGTGTTTACATTACTTTGTCTATTCCCTATATATTTAATTTACCTCTGCCATTTTCGTCAAAGTTCTTCAAAGCAGTTCTTAGGTGCAGTTAAACACTTCATGCATATCATGACTTGCACAATACAATTCGAAATAAATAAATAAATATATCTAGCTTTTGCACATAGCAGTTTTCGATAGGATAGACAGATGTTTATCCAAATTCAGAACCGACGTCATTATTAAATCACATCTTATTGCATTGTATGCTCTTATCCTCCTTTCTTATCAACAAAAAATGTCAAAGTCCAGGCAGATTTGCGCAAAAGCGATACGCACAAAATCAATACGCACAAAATCAATACGTTCATTAATTATCAACCTCAATATTTAATTATGCGTAGTTCTCGCATAATTAAATTTCTTATGCGATCTCTCGAGATGTACGCATTTTATTTACTTATATTTTATATTTTTTTCTTTATACTTTGTATTTTGATGTGTACTTTATGCGGCTGAAATAAATGAGTCTTTATAACATTCAGAGTTTTTTGCCAGGACCGAATTTCGAATCGGAATTCGCTTGTTAAGATGTTTGTATATGTTGTATATGCTGAACTCTGCAGCGCTCCCGTAGCCCGTAGGTCTTCGTTGAAAGCTTCCGAGAGACCCGAGAGTTCCGATCCGAATCAAAATGAAGACGTGCGGAGGATACGAAGGTGGAGGTTAACGTGACGTGCACTGATGTGCACGGTGGAACTTGACAGATCAACTACGTATTAAAACTATGCTAAATATGCGCGTGAAAATTATGTGCTCCGGCTGGACGTTGACGAGAGCTGAGGCTCTAACACGGAAATTGACGTCTACAAGCTAAACGAATTCGCAAACAATGCAGTTACAGATATCGCTGGACACTCCGTTTGATGACAGAACCACTTCATCCTGGTCGAGGTATAATCGGCGGAATACGTCGTTTTGTAGGCGATCACCGATTTTCTAAAACAAAGGAGTCGCTGATTCATTAATTATTTATGACTTTAATTAAACTCCGATTTTACTTAATCAGCGATTAACATATTATTAAAGTATTGGCCTGTACTTATTTTGTCAATGAATACATAATTATTAATTTTTTGTAGTTTAATTCACAAAAGAACAGATTAGAGATAACGAATTATAATAAAAAAAATTTGCTTTAAGCAATTCCATCAATTGCATTAATCAAAGTTCTTATTAAATTAACTCTAACTTAATCAGTAATTAACTTATCAAGCAATTTGTATTTATTTTATACACACGTGAAATTATTAAATTTTGAATGTTTAATTTCTAGATGAGCAGATTAGATTAAACATAACAAATCATAATTAAAATATGCTTTAAATTCTGTCAATTAAAATAATCAAAATTTGATCAGAATTATCTTTACAATTGCTATTACAAGCATTAGCAAGATTGGATTATAAGAAATCTCTTTCGTTCAGGAGGGAGAGGCAGAAATGGTTCCTGTCGTTGCTATGTGGCACATGCCTGATATATGCTACACGTACATCTGTCCCTCTGCTGATACCTGTTGTCAGTCAGGAGAAGAATTGGTCCAAGTCGGATTCAGGCATAATACTGTCAAGCTTCTTCTGGGGATATACATTGACGCAAGTAGCTAGTGGTTACATTAGCGACAAAATCGGTGGCCAGAAAGTATTGTGGATATCTGCTCTTGGTTGGTCGGCAACAACCTTCCTCATGCCGGAAATTATAGAATTCTTTTCCAGTGATGGGACATCTGTTCTGCTTGTTGCAGCAGTGAGAATGATAAACGGAGCATTCCAAGGTAATTTTTCAAGTGTTACGCAGCTGTACTGCTGGCGATGGTAGATAATATAACACTTGTCACTTACAGGAATGCATTTTCCTAGCATGATTAGCTTGATCAGTCAACGCTTGCATGAGGCAGAAAGGGCCTCCTTTTTTAGCTTATTAACATCAGGATCTGCTCTGGGCACTCTACTCACTGGGTCTTTAGGCTCATATCTTCTGGAAAATTATAACTGGATGACTGTCTTTCGAGCGTTAGGTACAATGTAGCTTATGTAAATCGATGTCAAATTAATTGAAGAATCCACAGATAAATGATGATAGTTTTTGTGACGTCACGTAAGAATAATTTAATAGTTGAATATCTCTTTGTCAATTTTATTTTTAAGCAGAAATGAGAAACGTTTGTGGTGCTTACTAATTTACTTATGTAGGGGGCATGAGTTTGGCATGGACAGCTTTATTAAGCTACCACACTCTGCCTTTTAAGGAAAAAACAGCTTCTATCAAATCCACCACCGACTATACTTTGCCTTGGTCCAAACTTCTGTCACAACCTCCTTTCTGGTAATTATAATGCATAGGCTTCAATATTTTCGAAACCTGTTTTATATTTGTAAGACCAGAAGTACAAAGAGAGACTTTTATAATCAGTTAACCATTGCAATTGGATTGTATTTTTTTAAAACTTTATTAATTTAACATTTTTAATTTTCGTGTTTTAAATCACAAATTCTCGGAATCGCAGTTCTTGAAAATGTGGAAAGTTTTTAGAATTTTAGCGCAGTCTTTTTGCCGATATATATTTTTCTAACTTTGTTGATTTCGAAGACTTACGATTTTAAAATAATGAAAGCTTAAATTATGCATATATACTTTAATTTACATAAATGCTCTGAATCATTCAATTGTGAAAATTATATAAGATAATGATTATAAGATTTATAAGATAAATATAATATAATTTATATAGACTAATTTTCTCATTTATGTTTGTGATTGTTAATTGATTTTTATGATTTTCAGGTCCTGTGTTATTGGACATGCTTGCCAAAATAACTGTTTCTTTGTACTACTTTCATGGATGCCTACATATTTCCATGATACATTTCCTGAAATCAGAGTAATATTATTATCTAATTTTTATTCAGTATTTTATTTTCGCTTAGAAAGTCTATAAAAAGTGTATGAAAATATATGAAAAGAAAAAATATAAGAAGTGTTCTATAACAAAAGTAATAAATAATATCTCATATTCATAGTTAAGAAAAAGCTAAATAATAAGTAATTTGTAATAACATAGTAATTTTTTTCTTGCTATATCATGTTGAATAAACTTCAATTAACAGGGCTGGATTGTAAATATGGTGCCATGGCTATCGATGTTACCTTGTACATTCTTGGGGAAAGCTCTGTCAGAAGAGATAATTAAAGCCGGTTATTCTGTTACTGTGACACGCAAAACAATCCAAACGATTTGTTTTGTCATCGAAATTGGAAGTCTGTTATTTTTGGGTAAGCTTAATCCTTAGTAATCGAGGCTTATACAACAAAAGTCTAGAAAAACTTATTAAAACTTTTTTGGAATTACTTATTTAAATATCTATAACAAAATCCTTTTTAAATAAAGTAATTATTTGCTTAGCCTTTGTCAGCTCCAATATTAAATTATTCGACGCGTTTTTGTGCGAAACGAAAGAATCTGATGAAAAAGTATTTAATAATTCTTAATAATTCTTTAAATAACATTCATGTACATGTTCCCCATAGCGAAAGTGGAAAGTTTTGAAAACGCCATACTTTGTCTCGCGTTAATTATTGGTGGCTCAGGCTTCCATAATAACGCTATCGCTGTTAATCCCTCGGATCTTGCACCAAAGCACTCCGGCAGCGTATTCGGTCTGATGAATACTGTTGGCGCAATACCTGGTAAGTAATTAATATACAACAATCGCATGAGCAGCTAATATATTTTCTTTTTTTTTTTCAGGTTTTCTCGGTGTATATTTTTCCGGACACATTCTACATGTGACACACAGTTGGCCTGCTGTCTTTTTATTTATAGCTGTTATTGATGCATTAGGATGTATAATGTACTTATTGTTTGGCTCGGGCCAAGCAATCATATAAATTGTAAAATAAAAATAAATTTTTATTAATAAAGTTTAAAAATCAATTGTTATTAAATGAATTTTAAAAATAAATTCTCGTTAAACAAATTTTCATTATGTTATCGTTCTAAAAATTATTCATAAAATCCCACACGTTGATATCTCCTTGGTGAGAAGCAGTGAAAAGTTACTAGAAACAGGTCGATGTAAATAGTGTGCAATTGAACTGTGTGCAAGTGCCGCCACTCCCACTGCTATTTGCACTTTTTGCACTCAGCATCTTCGCTCTTTCTCTTTTTTTTATACTTAAATATATATTTATCTCATTTTAAAGTGCAAAACATTTTTAAGCAACGCGAAAAGATCTAGGTCTGTTTTTCATTCCTGCACTAGACTGCATTAGAACTCTCTCATTTTCGCCAATTATAAACGTATACTTATCTCATTTTAAGTTTCAAAAGTGTATACACTAGTTCAACAAAAAAACAGACCCTTTATATGTAACTTGCGATTATTTGCGACGTTAATGCGCACGTGTCAGTAACATGTCAAAGTAGTGAAAAGTAAATAATGACCGCGTTCAACAGAGAAAATTAATCGATTAGCAACAATTAGTCGTTAGCGGTTAGTTTTTTTTTTTTAAATATGATTGGTTCTTACACTTAGATTCAACAAAGAACTAAAGGCAAGAACCAATCATATTAAATAATCACTAAGTGTTGACTGATTAGTTTCTTCTGCTGAACACAGCCAAACTTTCTTCGTTCATAGCAATTCATATAAACAAAAATTCGCAGATTTTTAGTTGACGTTGATTTTAATTTTTCTTCAGAAGTGAGTAATAATACTTTATCATATTTTCCAATTAATTTGTAAATCTAAAATGCCGGTTGTGTATGTATTTGTTGTACAAATTTACAGCAGTATCTTATTTAAAATAACCTCTATATTTAGATCTATTTTTTTTTCATAATCATAAAACATCTTCGAAATTCTAACATCGTTCTAACAACTTCAAAATGTTCATATATGTTTTTCGATATATTATTTAACTGCAAAATAATAGTAATAGATTATATGTCGATAACAGAAATGTCACAAGATGAGGAAATAGATTCGCAAGCAAGTCAGTGGTACGGAGTACGAGAAGCCACATTATTTCTCGTCGATTGTACAGAGAAAATGTTTATGCATTCATCTGATGATAAAAAAATCACTTACATCGAAAAGTTTTTCAAGGTCAGTTATAACATTGCAATGTTAGTTTGAGACTCATTCTTTTTAAATGAACTTTTTACAAGTTTATTTTTCCTCTTTTTTCTCTCACATTAGAAAGAAAAAAAAAAGAAAAGTTGAATGTGTATAAGAAGTTCAGATAAAAGAATGGGACTTGTTGGTTAAAGAGTTACATATAACTGATTGTCGTTCATTATCCTTTCAGCTATACAAACAAATTCTTCGACAAAAGTTAGCATGGAGTATGCAAGATTGGATGGGCATGGTACTATTTGGTACAGAAAAGAGTGACTCAAATTTACCATGGACAAACATTCAGACTCTGCAAGAACTCAGAGTTGTTACTTTGGATGATTTACAACAGATTAGAAAACTAAGCAAGTATAATTTGATACTGAATGTAGCACATTCCCCAAGAATGTGAACCACAACTTTCATTAATTGGTTTTTTGCTAATTTTTACAGCTAAAAGTGGCATGAAGGATTATGAAAGTATGAAATTAAAAAATAATGCTCTGCTTCTTGATGTATTGACATATGCCACGGATATCTTCTTGAAAATAAAAACAGTCCTCACTAAACGTAGAATAGTTCTGATCACTTGTTATAACCCCGACTATTTGGACGACGAAAAGCATCGCATCAGAGCAAAGGCGAAATCTTTAAAGGAGTTGGACATCAATTTACACGTGATCGATTTGAGAAATAATTGGCCGCTTGACGAGTTCTATAAAGATTTAGAAATGCTGTCAAGAAAGATAGAGATAGGTTACAGAAGGACGTCACTTGTTGACTTGGTACAACAGATTAAAGCACCATCTAAAAATATTGCACGCTTATCCTTTCAGATATGCGATGGTTTAGAGATTGATTTAGTGGTGCGTACTCTGGGCAGGTAGGTCTTTGTGTAAGAATAATATTAATTTTGTAATATTATAATTAAATTTTGTACAAACAAAAACGCAAGTATTATTTTACAGAAAACGTAGATGTTTGCAAACAAAGCCATTAAGCAAAGCGACTAATCAAGTTTTATCCAGATCAACCTATTTCAAGGGTACCAATTTTTTCATTGATGAGGTGTATATCTCTCGCTTAATGTAAAAGTTTGTTTAATCTTAATTGGTCTTATTCGTCAGTCCAATTCGTCAGTCAACCTATATTTTCTTTATGTTGTGAAAAATTGTTTATAAGAAATATTTTTTACAATCTTATATAATTTTAAGTTAAATAATCTTATATCTTGGATCTTGACCTTCAAAATGACAAAAAAATTCAATTATTATCAACTTTGAGCAAAGATATATTAATTAAAAAATTAAGATATACTGTGGACCCGCGAATACGAATTCCGATTAGGGTTAAATTACATAAAATATCTTAAATTTATTTCATACATCCGATTTGTTTAATTTAGGAAGACAGTGACAACGAGGAATCTGATTTACCTTTTATGATACCAGAGGAAGTTAACTTGGAAACTAAGGAATTGATCGGTGGTAAGAAGCTGCGTTTCATGCGAAAGGAACTCTTGCGGATAAAGCATTTATATCCACCAGCTATCAAAATAATTGGTGTAAGGCCTATACCCAGTGATCTTTTCAGATATCATGTTAAACGGAAGTACTTTGTTAGAGCGGATTATGGTAGTACTCGTCAAGGTAACGCATATATATAAAATGCACAATAAAAAAATTAATGCGCGAGGTTTAATTTCTTGTGTATCATAAAATTATACAGAGATATACGTGAAATGTGATAACACTATTTGTGATATCACAACATTAATTACTGTAAAGGCTAATCTATATATGCTCTTTGCTTCCTTTTTTGCTTCTATTTTTTGCCTTTTTCTCTTTTTGTGACTATTTTATTGATAATCGTGTCTTTTCCGAAGTTTTTCAATTTTTATCTCATATGAGAGAAAACGAAGGAATAAAATAAGTACGAAGGCAAGAGGTAAAAAGTAAGAAACAGGAAGTAAAGAGCACATTGTAGATTAGCTTTAAAAATGTCAAATGATCATTGTTTCTTTTTGCAGATAATCTATTATTCTTCAGCGCTTTATTAAATAAATGTGCGACTAAAAGTAAAATGATAGTATGCGCGTTCACAATGCGGTTGAATACACAAACTAATCTCTGCTACATGATTCCGAACGCTGAATTGGGCGGCTTTTATTTATCGAAAGTCGCATTTCAAGGTATGTCTAATTATATTTTATATAATTACACTATCAGAGAAAGACTCAAGATATTCTTTACTTGATGAGTTTAATTTTATATTAGGGAACATAGGAGATAAGAGCGAAGCGTTACTACATTATGACACGCAGAATTCTGTATCTGACAAGGAAGTTGATCTGTGGAAAAAAACGATCGACCGACTCGATATGAACTATCATCCGTATAATTTCAAATCTTATAAACTGGAGTGTCAGATACAAATAGTGGAGAAGTTAGCTCTGGACAAAGAACCTGGCCCTCCACCGATTGATTCTATCGAGAAATCATGTAAGTAATATCTACTGAGATAAATAAAAAAATATATTTTTTTTTTCAGGCGAAGTTTGGAAACACTTTTTAAAAACTGATATTTGGGATTACTTATTCAAGTATCCATAATAATGTTTTTTTTAGTAATAATTCTTTAGAGAAGTATCTTAACAGTTGTAATAGTTATTGGCTTTGGTCTAAAAAATTTGATAAATTATTGTAAAAAAATATAATTATGGGTATTTGAGTATGTCAATTCAAAAAATTAAGAGGATAAAAAGTATTTCTGAATTTTTGATCTGGAATGTACAGAGAGTAAAAGATCTCATTACTTGGGTAGAAAAAATAAATTTATATCAAATTATAGATTAATGCTAACTTTTTTTCAGATTTAATGGCTAAACAGAAAACAAGTAATTTAATATCTGAATTTTATAATATGTATCCTGATTTACAATTTATCAATGACGGTCCGACAAAAGCAAAAAAGCCTAGAAAAAAGTAGGAGATATGTTTATTAAAATGTATGTGATTATGCATGGAATATTATGTTACGTGATGAAAATATTTTTAATGATACATAGAAATTTTGTTTTTCGCATTTTCTTGAAAGTTACTTGTATAATAAAGATCTTAAAAAAATAAGTAATATCTAAGTATCTTACTATATAAAAGACAGAAATACTGTTTATTTTTAAATACTACATTTTATTTCATAAATTATGTACTTATATATGTATATATCTGTGAAATTGTATGTTAAAATCTTGCTTCTTTTGTATTTTAATTTTGTTTTGTTATATAATTTCAGTCTTGAAATGGATATAGGTATTTAGAAACTAATTCCAATTAATGCACAATGTAATCATAAAATTTATATAAATATAAACCTATCAGTTTTATTTGGCAATATATAACGTTCTGTTATTAAAATATCCATTGTTATTTTTAATACATTTTATTAGAATAATACTATTATAAATATAGGAAGATAAAATTATTAAGGCACCAAGATGGTAATATTCTGAGAATTTAAATGCATATGAATGTTTAACAATATTTCTATTCATATATGTATATCAAAATACATTATTTTATTATGTTCTATTTTGAATATATCTGCTGCAGTTAGTCATTTTGATTAGGCTGCAAAAGGGTAAGGCACGTGCACATTCCTGTATACCTCACACAGAATGTGTGTTGTTTAACTATGTTTTGAAAAAATCTTATAAACTTTATGCAAAATTTACATTTCTTAACGGCAAATGTTAAGGTAGAAAATTCAAATTTTTGCACACTTTCAATAATCTTATATAAATATGTATCATAAAATAATTTAAATAGAAAATTACTTAGATCCTACAATCTTGAATATATATACTTATTACTGCAACAAATCAATGCACAATTAAAAAGATGCAAAGTGATATTATCATTAGTTCTCTCCTGTGCCATCTTTTACTTCAAGCACGCAGGCTTAAAGTACGACACAGGTGCTTTTCTCACGAAAGGGATTCGACTTCTGTGATGAGAAGCCCACCAGCAGGCAATCCTCCTGCTCGTGCTCGGTGATGTACTTCATGATGTCTTCGACGGCTTTGCTCACCGTGATCCGCTTCAAAGCGGCTTCGCGGCGCAGCTGCTCCGTCACTTGGCGTTGCTGTTGCAAATTCGACATCACCATGTCCATAACAACTGTATGCGTAAGAGACAAGTCAGAAAGTGTCAAACTAGAATTCTCGCACAGGGGAAAACAGAAGAACGTGTGAAAGGGGAAATACACCACGAATTTAAAAGCTAACCTGGACTTGGACCTGGTACGATGCTTCAATCTCTTACAGATGACGGAGAACCTTCTCTCTCGATAATTCGGATCTTTCTTTCCGCCGCGAAAAGTAATCAGTAGACTGACTTCTTTCACGCTCTTCACGATCCTCACGATTTATCCTGATTTATCCTTTCCGTACCAAATGTGTTAATTGGTGCCAATCCCTCAAGGTGTACTCACATGTGCAACAAATTGCACGCGTGCGACGCGTTGATTGGCCGACAAGCATCTCGTAAAGATGTGTTATTAGAAATTGAATCAAAGGAGGACGTTCTGAAATAATTAATCGTATAATTAAAACATAACTAATTAATTATGAATAAATAATACTGGGTGCGGCGCCAAAATCCGGACAAATTTCAAATTGAAATTCCCTCCGTTCAATACCATTAGTCAATAACATAGATGTCGCGATTGGCAGTCAAATAGCTTGACGCATGTACTAAACCATCATAACCTCGAAACAGTCGCAATGTTGAAACCAAGTGCGGAGTACAACTGAAGAGCCGCGATTATCGAAAGTATTCGCGCCTGGCGCTCGGCGACAGAAATCATTCGGTTTTTCGGGTATCCGAGATCGACTGTGTATGATGTCTTCGCAAAGTATCATGAGATTAATTTAAATATTTACATGTGATCATTATGATTGTTGATCATTCGAAAAACAATGATGCTGTCTCAATTAAAATATTATAGATGAAAGTAATGCTTTCTAACGTGTTAATGTTTGAATAATAATATCTAATAATAATGATAACTAGATAATAATAATAATAACAGCATTTTGATTAATTTTAATCGACAGTTAATCCATTGGAATTGATCAATCGCAGCTACAGTCGTTAAGCGAAATGACATGCGATTCCAATGGACTAATCGTCAATTAAACTTAATCGGAGTTGGTTGAAGTGGCTTTAAAGGACTCTGCTCACAATGAAGGAAATATAAGGAACAAGAATAAATATAAAATATTAAAGAAATAAAAAATTAGAGATCAAAATTAAAGTTAAGAACTGCATGCAATAAAAAGAAATATTAGGAACAAATTTAAATATAAAGATTTCAACTCATTGATCAGAATAATTGAGTGTTGATGATTCTATTGAATTAATTTGAATTAATTTTTTTTAAATGATTTAATTTTAAGCATAACTGACAACGATTTCGTAACGATATGGTTTGTACAAGAATTTAATTAATTAAGGGTTAAATAATTAACTTTATTTAACATCCAATTTTTTCTTAAGTGTAGCGTCATTATTATGATTAATTATATAATTTTTGATTCTGTGAAGAAAAATATACAAGAAAATAAAACGATCCCTGAAAAAGTCGTACCCTTTTTTTCTTAGCCAACAGTCACGAGACGCGAATACTTAAGGTCTGTTTTTTATTACTGCACTCTGAATCGATGGAATAAATTGAAATAAACGTATATTTGTTTCATTTCAACTTGCACTGTGTGTATTAGTTCAAAAAGTGCAGGAATAAAAAACAGACCTTTAGACGAGAAGCCGGAGAATAGCATATATAATCTTGAATAGTTTAGAATGAGCTGTGCCCCCAGGGCCCGTAAGCGCCCGTGACCCCGGACGCGTCGCACGTCATTGCGCGAATTCGACCAATCGCGAGCGCTCGCCGCTCGCGATTGCGCGGCGAGCCGTGGCGCGCACCGCGCCTGCGCAGCACGGCGCTTGCGGCCGTGCGAAACTCCACATGAGCCTGTTGCCAGTTATTGATCGTTGCGCGATTAAACAACACCGCATTGCTGTCAACTACGAAAACACAGGAGCTTCGCCACGTCTCGGTCTGCGCTCGGCGTTCCAGCGTACGGCGTAAAAGCATTGGGGACGGCCGTGAGGTTCAACCGACAGTCATCGTTCCTCCTAAAGTGTTTAACGATTCTACCACCGAACCCTCGAAGCAAACCGCTGGTGCGCGACGCGAGAGAAACGGACAACACACGATTGCGGCATCCCGTCTGTATCTCTGTGACACAGCGCGACGCGGCGCGGAGCGGAGCGGAGCGGCTCCACTGACACGTCTGCTGACACGTACTGTCAAAATGTAGAGAAGATCAACATCGACGACGGCGGCGGCAGCAGCAACAGCAGTGCTTTCAACGTCGAGAACTTGATCGCGCCAGCGAAAGAGAGAGAAAGAGTGAAAACATGTCATTGGATTTCCGCGAATGAGCCCGGAGCAAAGAAAGAGAGAGAGAGAGGAGCCACGGCGAGCCAGATTTTTGAATTCCTGGCCGTGATTTTGTAGACGGACGGCGGCGATTGCACATGTGATCCCCCCTGAGTGGTCGACCCCATTTGGCAGACGCGATGAAGAAGTTCACGATCAAGGGTGTACTCGACGGGTTCCGGTCGTCGGTCCCGCAGCCCACTAAACCCGACCAGGAAATCATCGAGAATCTCAGGCCGGAGCACTTTCAAGTTAAGAAGGTCAGTACGAGAGGGTTCACTCTGGTATCCCTCCACCCCTTTTCAACTCCCACTTCACCCACTTTCCCTGTTCGCCCTAATTAAAGTGGACCTGTCGATAACACGCCGTACTCGGCGCATTTTTCACAGACCTTCGCTGATCCAGAGAAGACTTTCAGAGAAGTCTGACGATGTGCGAAATCGCGGTAAATTTCGGACTATCGTGCGAAATGAGATCTACCGCGGGGTTTTTTCCTTCCTCGCGGTATTTAACGATTGACTGAATGACGCAAGTCGCGCAATTAGAAATTTTATGGGGTCAGTCGTAACTCGTAATGTAAGGGAAAGTATTACGCCATCGGGAGGCGGACGAGTAGATAGTGGTTGTTTTCAACGAGAGATACAAATGATATGGTGCAACACAGAGTTATCATATCTAAATCACGAGAAAAGGGTACATATGTACATTTTTTTAAAAAAAGATAACAATCCGGGAGCGGAAGAAGGGAGTATAATTTTATGCATTAAGTAGATATTTAATAAAATGAAATTTCTAAATCAATTTTTATTGATAACTTGTATTAATATAATTTTATAAATATAAAATTATAATTAATCAATTTTACGGTCTCAAAAGAGTACAGTTGATCCTAAATACAGTGAATCATTACATCCTTGTTGCTTGTCAATATTAAACAAGGATGAATTCACTGGAAAGAATAATTTTGCTCAAGTATCTAAAAATTTAGCTAGACACAAATTTAAAAATAATTTAATTGGACTAAATAATTATGTAAAATGCTCAAATTGATTGCTAGAATGTAAAATTTTTTTTCAACATTGCTTGAGATTCTTGCAGTATACATAATTATTTTTACGACAAAATTATTTTTACACTAAAAAAAATATCTTGTTGAAAAAGAACGAACTGTAGAAGATTTTAATTATATCAATTGGAATTTCGATTATCTCAACTAGAATTTAGTAGATTTAACCAGAAAATTCTAATTCGGCTATTTTCAATCAGAATTTCAATTAATTCAACTAGACATTTTTCTCAGTATAGCTTATTATCTAGCTAAATATTTAGATACTTTAGCATTCTTTTCATGTATGTCTCTCTCTCTCTCTCATTTCAAATGACTCATTTGTCTTTTATTTGGAAAGCACTTGCAACATTAATTATTAATGGGACGCGCAAAACTCGTTCGTTACATTATATAATGGAGCAGGAAGAAAAAGGAAGAAGCGAGATAATTAGATCCAAATTGGATTCAACGATTGGAAAGATTCAGCCTCATTCGCGTTTTATTCGTCATTTATCTTAAGTGCAGCGCTCGAAGGATCGTTCGCATAAAAGCCTGTTTTCCTTGAGACCACCATCTCGTCCCGGCTCTCGAGCTTTCTGCTCTTTGCTTTGTGTAAACAACCCCGGTATGCCAGTAAATGCACCGTGTCAATATCGAAAGCTTACGTAATCCGAACTCATTGGCATTCATATCGCTGAATAAATTCATATCAATTGCATCGCGCTATCCGTTAACTCTATCGAGTACTCCATTTTCGTGAATGCATCCATGATCTATATTGTGATCTATTGACTCCTGGATCTAATGAAGCATTGAGAAAAATCATCTGATTGGATTAAATAGTAATTCTGGTGGAAAACGGACGAATCAGAATTTTCTGATTAAATCTACTAGAAAGTTCGGATAACTAGAACCCTGTTTGATATAATTAATTCTGGTAAAAATAAGAAGTAGAGTTTACCAGAAATATTATATCAACCAGAATTTCGATTATCTCAACTAGAATTGTAATACATTTAATCAGAAAATTCTGATTTATCCATTTTCAACTAGAAATTTTTTTTAGTGTGTAGGTTTAAACTGTCTACTCAGTAAACACCAACCTACACCTATTCAGTAAACATCAACGAACAGTAACATAACATAATAACGTTATAATTTCACACGCAATATAACGACTGATTCAAGTTCACAATGCTCGTGAGCATCATTTGCCCTTGTTTAACATTTCATAAACAACAAGGCTGAAATGATTCTTAAGGGATGTTAGCTTGAATTGGACCACGACCTAAATGTAATAATAACATGTGTTGTACATAACAGTTATAATACGAAAGCTTGCAACAACATTACTGTAACGTTTACAATATTGCTGGAATGATTTGTGCTGGACGAGATTGTTAAATGTGAAATTATAGTACTGATGTCATGCATATTATGTACTATTAATTGGTGTTTGCTGGGTATTTTGTTCTATTACAAAAATGATACATGTGAAAGTCACGTATCGGGTATAAAACAAATACGTAACATGACTTTGATATATATGATTCTTGTAAAAGAGAGAGAACAAAGTAAGCACCTTTTGAACTTGTTTCACTAAATTCAGAAGAGATATCGAGTCTTTGTCCATGGATGTACGTATTCTATGAAAGAAGAGAAGATTGAACACAGCAATAACGATTTTGCTGAAGTATCTAAAAATTTAGCTCTAACAAAATTATTTTTAGATCTGTATGATAGAAAATATTTTGTTAGTCTATCGAAATAATTATGTGGGAAACTCAAGCATGATAAGCAATACTATAAAAAATTTTGATTGTAATTCTAACAGTCAGCTTGAGCGTCCTATATGAATTATTTTGATGATTCAGATAAAATTGTTTTCAGATCTGCATTTAGTTAAATTTTTAGATACTTCAGCAAAACCGTTCTT